GAAATCAAAGAAATTGGAGACAGTAAAAATTCTTTGGGAAATTTAACCTTAATAAAAATAAAGGATGACCACCCTCTACTCCCCTGAGATGAAAAAAGAAAGATTTATAAAGAATTAGGGAACAACTGCCTAATGAATTGTCTTGAAGAAGAACATAACTGGACTGAAATAGAAGATATAAACGATTTGCTAGAAAAGCGAAAAAAATACTTAATGGAAGAGTTTAAAAGACTTCAAATTTTTGAGGTCGATTAATTAACAAATTTTCTCCTTTAAAACTTATAAAATTGTCAGATAGTCAATGTTCTTAAATTTTTCTTGCTTTGTTTCCTTCCCTACTACCATTTTCATATCCCGAAACTGTTTTTCAGTTATCAAGAAGTATCTAACATTTCCTATTTTTGGGCAGTTTTTTTCTAACTTTTGGGCGGACTCTTGGGCGTAGTCAAAAGTGTGACAAAGTTTAACATAAACCGAAAATTGAAGCATATAATAACCATTTCCTAATAAATACTTGTGGAAGTAACGAAAATCTTTGCGGTTTTCCTTGGTTAAAGTTGGCAAATCATACAAAACTATTATCCTCATTTGTCGATACCTATCTTTCCTCCTCATTTTCTAACCCTTGAATAATTAAAGTAGGAAGTCTGATTTTACTAGTGCTATTTTCTTTCAAGCAAGAAATAAATGATTTGATCATAATATCAATTGCTATATACACTTTTGTCTTTATATTGTTTATTTTAACCGGATAATATATAATTTTTACTATTTCCTCCCTAGTTTGCGAAGATAAATTACTTTCTTTTCCTAACTTAGAAAAATTAGTAACCACTCAATAATCAACAATCGGCCGCAAGGGTTCAATAAAATCGCTACTTAAATTAAATCAATTAGTTGGTCCACAATGTTTTATTCCTAAATAGTTATTTAAACCATAACTAATTAATGTTCTTGAAATTGCACCGGTTAGAATTTTATAGCCATAATTTAATGCTCCGTTAATGTTGTCGTCGGCAAAGCGAACAAAATCCTTACCATATAACTTTTGAAAGAAATATTTAGCCACTACTCCCTCTCGATTAGTTTTGTCCCCATTTTCCACTTTTTTTGATTGGACTTTGATTCACTTTAAGTTGACTTTTGGTTTTTGTTGCTCTAAAACTAAATAACTATTTTCAATTTTCTTTTGAATAATTTTTTTTCATAATAAATCTTTAAACCGTTGGGTCATTTTCAACTGCTTGCGAAAAACATTTAGAGGAGAAAAATGCTGATTTAAACTGATAAGTAGACCAGTTGGGTCATACTTTTCGTTAGTAACTATTAAAGAGATATTATTTTCGGCTAACTTACTTAGTAAATGACTAGTTAGGCGAGAATGGCTGTTTTCGAGAATTATACAGTTAATATCATCCAGCGAAAATTGTAATTTAACTTGTTCTTTTTTATCAATTAAAGTAAATTGATTGTTTTTAAGACTTAATTCATCATTCTCCCTTACTATTATAGTCTTTCAATTCATGCTAAATAAATAATTGATAAAAAACCTAAAAATGGAACTGATTAACTAATTTCTTTTAAATCTTTTCTGATTAGTTCTTGAAATTGGGGTCGCATTTGCTTTCAGTTAACTAATTCTACGATAAATGGCAAGTCACTTTCTTCGAGTTCTCCTTTAATTTGGCAAATAATTTCATCGGGGATGTCATCATAATAGCAAATATCTAAATCAGAAAACTTTCGGGCAGTTCCTTTTGCTCGTGAACCATAAGCATAAAAATGATAGGGATATTTACTCAATATTTTTTGTAAAGTTTGGTAATCTTGAAGTTCAATTTGGATCATTTTAATTGATTTCTTGCTTTTTTTCTTCCAAAGTTTTAATTAATTTTTCTAATTCACTAATAAATTTTGTGATACCAGTTGTCTTATGTCGTAATCGAATAGGTTTATTATTAGTTCGCTTTCTTTGATTTTCTTTTG